AGGTCACAAAGGGTAACAATGGCAGACACTTATGAAAGCAGATACCTCATTCTTCCTATGGGCATTTCTGTCTTTGTATTTTCCTTAAGGAATTTTCTTAAGTGATTGCCTTTGAAACTATAGAGTGGCCAGAAATGAAATTTTTTTTATATTTATTTATTTATTATGTATACAATATTCTGTCTGTATGCCTGAAGGCCAGAAGAGGGCACCAGATCTCTTTACAGATGGTTGTGAGCCACCATGTGGTTGCTGGGAATTGAACTCAGGACCTTTGGAAGAGCAGACAATGCTCTTAACCACTGAGCCATCTCTCCAGCCCAGAAATGAAATTTTATGTGCTTTTCAAGTAGAAGACCCAAGAATACCAGTTTTATTAGCTTCATTGATTCTGTTAATAAGCATTGTGTCCCTGGACTGTTATATTAAAGGTGATGTTACAGTATGGGGAAAGAACACTCAGTGTCCTGTAGAGACTCAGAGAACACTAGAGATTTGCTGCCTACAGGGCCTGGAGCCCTCACCAGGATGTGGCTGCCTGGTCGGAGTCATACGATGTAAATTAAACTACTGAGCACCTGGGTATTTTGCCCTATCCCTTGGTCCCCTGGTTCTGCCATGCTTGTTCTGCGCTAATATTAGTGCAGGTTTCTGTGGTTACAAAGTTGAGAGTTAGGGAAGGGCTTTCCTTGCAAATCCATGTAAACATTCCTCCTGACTCCCCGTCTCCACCACTCGCTCACTTGACGCTGCTCAGGGATAACTGTTTGCAGTAGGGACCCTCATCCCATGGATGCTGTGTTGTTCATTAGGAAGTCTCAGCTGCTGCTTGTCTGTCACGGCGGGGAAATCAGAGAGTAGAGGCTACTTCCTCAACTGAGATGCTTTAAAAAGCTTTTGTATTTGATCATTTTCTAGAAAATTTAACCACATGAAAGATCTTAAATATGCATAGGGATCATAGAGTTCTCTTCTAATAAAATCTGTTGGTAATTTTCAGAATGAAGCAATGACTGGTTCTCACACCCAGAACCGAGTCCTCTCTCGAATCACTCTGGCATTAATGGAGGACACTGGGTAAGACAACCGTGAGAAAATGAGTTTATAAAATGAAATAATATTCAAAATGTAGCTTAAGAAAATGCTGATATTCCGAAGCAAAATGTACTTAGCAATTCTTTGACTTTTGTGCAGTTTGTTCTTAATATAATAGAGTAAATATAACAAAATCTAAGATACTGTGAAGCCATGCTAATATGAAGGGAAAACTAACCTAGAGAGTTTTAAATTACTGAATGCGTGATGTATAAATTCCTAGGCTTTTTGTTGGTGTTTTGTTTTATTTGGTGTTTTTAGGACAGTATATTTCTACTTACCTGGAACTTGCTCTGTAGACCTGTGAGGGTGGGGGGAGATTCTCATTCAAATCACCACAGAAGTATGAAGATTTTAAAATACAGAAGTCATGACAACACAGAGCTCATAGCTGACTCTAAGAACAGTCTCAATAAAAATGAGCAGAATGGGGCGCAGTGGCTTAATGGTAGAACACTGCCTGGCATATTCAAGGTTCCGTCCCCAACATAGCTGCACCCACTAAATAGTGATAGTGGTGGTAATGATGATGGTGACGATGATGATGATAGTGAGACTAGGAAATTCTCTTCTGTTTAATGAGAGCCAGAGATCTAGGTCAGAAAGGATTTGATTGAGACAGCTTTTTTCCTACCAGTCCAAAATCAGTGAGCTCTGGAAAACCAAGAGTGAATTAGCTAATGAGAGCAAGAAAACAGTGCAGGTGGGAATTAGCCTCCTTCTGTTAATCCAGGGGAAAGAGTGGGAATTAAGATGCAGGTCATTGAGGCCTCCCATGGGGAGTCAACAAAGTCTGTCACATCAGTTGAGGCAGGACCAGGGCCCTCCCCACTGTATCTAGGCTGAACAAGGTATCCCTCCATAGGGAATGGGCTCCAAAGAGCCAGATCATGCACTAGGAACAAATACTGGTTCCACTGCCCAAGCCACACACCTGTCACCCACATTCAGAGGGCCTAGTTCGATTTTAGGCTGGTTCCCCAGCTGTCAGTCCAGAGTCAGTGAGCTCCCACTAGCTCACGTAGGCTGTTTTCTTAGATATCCCCATCGTGGTCTTGGCCCCTTTGCGTATAATATCGCTCCTCCCTCTCTATGACTGGATTCCAGTTCAGTCCAGTCTAGCTGTGGATCTCTGCATCTGCTTCGATCAGTTACTGGATGAAGGTTCTGTGATGACAATTAAGCTAGTCGTCAATCTGATTGCAGGGGAAGGGCGGTTTAGGTACAAGCCTTAGATTCTTAGCTGGGATCATCCTTGTGGTTTCCCTAGTGCCTGGTTTCTGGCTCCCTCTTTCAAGCTATCTCTTTCCTTGCTCTCCCTTTCTGTCCTTTACCCAACTCAATCTTCCTGATCCCTCATGTTCCTCCTGCTCCCCGTCTCCCCTCCTTACTCACGTACTACTCTTCCTCCCTTCCCCCATGCTGCCAGTTTGTTAAGGAGAGCTGTCTACTTGCCCTTCCCAGGAAGAAATGCCACTCTGAAAGTCATTATTAACATGTAAAATTTGAAATTAAAAAGGTACATTCTATAAAATGATAACAAATACTGAAGTTTATGTAGACTTCTTTCATCTTGGGGATGGTATTCTTTTAAGTATTTTATTATGAAATATAATAATACAATACAGGGGCCGAAGAGATGGCTCAGAGGTTAAGAGCATTGCCTGTTCTTCCAAAGGTCCTGAGTTCAATTCCCAGCAACCACATGGTGGCTCACAACCATCTGTAATGAGGTCTGGTGCCCTCTTCTGGCCTGCAGGCATATATACAAGACAGAATATTGTATATATAATAAATAAATATTAAAAAATAATAACAATACAATACAAAGAAAACAATGTACATAAAACAGTGATTCTCATATTCCTATAGCCTAGAACCAGCAATGTGTTGTCTCTCATTTGTAACATTGTCTTTATTATCTTGAAAGTTGCAAATATGTTCCCTAAATATTCCCCTACAAGCTCCTATAATATATGACTTTTAAAAGGAACTGTTAACAAAATTAATAATTTCTTAATATTTTATAATATCTTATTATAGAGGTTATATAAATATATAACCCCTTGTTTTTCTCCTTTCACAACTGATTTGTTTAGGATCTAAATAATCGTGGTTGGTTGGTACATCTCTTAGGTTTGCTAATTTAAACCTTTTTCGCACATTCTACACAAGTATGCAGATTCACTGGTGTAGCGCCTCACACCCCAGGGAAGCATCTTGACCAAAGTATAGTGCTTGGGCATTGGCAGAGGCACCAAGACCTTCAACAGAAAAAGATCACTTTAACAAATGGGACCGGACCAGGTCAGAATTTAACAAGACCTGATGTAGTAGCTGAGACCGTCAAGCAGTTGACATAAAGCAGATGTGAGTCTCTTTGATACTGGATTAGGAAATGATTCTTAGATCTAATACCAGCAACCAAAGATAATAGAACATTTGGACTCCATCAGAAAAATTTAAACATTGTGCTTCAAAGAAAATTATCAAGAAAATAAAAAGATAACTCACAGAATAAGAAAACATGTTCGCAGGTCATTTTCATAGTGACTATACAGTTTCCAGAATACGTAGAGGAACAGTTAATGGCACAATAAGAAAAAGGCCATAGGGGAAAAGCCATAATTTAAAAAAAAGATGAAAAATCAATTCTTCAAAAAAATATACAGAGACAAATGAGCATATGCAAAGATGCATGGCATCACAAAAATGCATGTCATTAACAAACTACCATTAAAACTCTCATGAGACGTGAATGAGACATGACTATATACAGAGCACCAATACCACCGAGTCACAGAGCTCATTTATTATCAGTAGGAAGGCAACATGATTCAGCCACATTGGAGAACAGTTTGGTAACTGCTTATAAAACTGAAGATGTTCTTACCATACAGCTAGCTGTGCTCCTTGATAATTATGAAATGAGTTGAAATCATACACCTGCAACAAAAGAGGCTCTAGTTGGCTGGATAAGGAAGAGTTGTTTAGTACCAACAACAAACGAGCTACAATCCATGAGAAGACATGGATACTGAGTGGAAGAAGCCAGCCCGCAAAGGCTTCAGACTACAAGGCCGCTCACTGTGTAAAACTGTAAGGAGGTGGTTGCCAGGGTTGGTGCAGGAAGGAGAGATGGATATGCAGAAGACAGGGTGGGACACTAAACCATGCCTGTGGCATCCTGTTGATAGGTGCCTTCCCTCCCTCCCTCCCTCCATTTCTCTCTTCTTTCCTTGTAGTGCTGGAGAGCAGACTTAGGGGCTTTATGCATGCATGTGAGGCAGAGCATACACCCTAAAAAATCAAGCCTAATGTGCACTATGGATTTTGGTAGTAATGGCATTCCCGTGTAAATTCACTGGTGTAACCAATGTGTAACTTGGGTGAGGGACGCTATGAGTCTGTAGAGGTAGGGAGAATCTAGGAACTCTTTGTACCCTCTACTCATTTAAAGTAGTACTTTAAAACTGTCCCCACATGCTGGGTGGTGGTGGTACACGCCTTTAATCCCAGCACTCATCAGGCAGAGGCAGGCAGATCTCTGTGAGTTCGAGGCCAGCCTGGTCTACAGAATGAGTTCCAAGAAAGGCTCTAAAGCTACAGAGAAACCATGTCTCAGAAAAAAAAAAAAAAAATAGGTAAAACTGTCCCCACACTAAAGTCTGAAAAAAAGAAACCCAGAGATTCTGCTATGTACTGCAACATGTATGAGCCTTGAAAACATTATGTTAAGTGAAAGAGTGAGTCTGGCAGTGGTTTAGTGTTTGGGAGGAATGGGAGATAGGGACAGGAACTTGGTTTATTTAGGGAGGGGGTGATGGAAGTATTCTGAAATTAGTTATGACATGACTGTGTGTATATACTAGAAGTATATGTGCCCATTATAAAGACCAGTTTCATGTTATGTGAGTTAAGCTCACATTTTAAAGCTCATAGAGACATTGAAACCAAAGCTCTAAATCCCAGGCACTGTCTGTGAGCTGGTGTGTGCCGGTGTCCGCATCCCTCACTTGTAAAGTAGCAGTAACAGTAATACTTACACCATCGAGGCTTCTGAGGCTCACCTGAGCTACCCTATGGAAAGCCCTAGAACAACAGCGTAGCACTTGGTGATTATCAACCAAGTGTTGGGATTTCATATAAAACCTGAACCTCAGTCTCCTGAGAACAGATTTACTTTTACTGCCCGCAGCACAGTTCTTTCTGCTGCTTTTGAAAGGAAGGACGGCTCATCAACCCACTAAATGGTCTTGTAGCCCAGTCACCCCTGGAAACCCTCTTTCCAGTGCTTCCTCACACAAGCCTCGGTCCCCCCCACCAGCTAAGTTTTGCTGGTAGTACACTTTGTCTTTTGTAAAACCCATTATTTAGAATATTTTAGTTTATCTGACTTCCTCAGATTAGATTAGAATTTTAAAATTTTTATTTTTTTGGAGTTTTGTTTGATTATTTGAGACAGGGTCTCATTTTATAGTTCTTCCTGGCCTGAAACTCACACTGTTGACTAGGCTAGCCTCAAATTCATAGAGATCTGCCTCACCAGTGCCAGGATTAAAGGGTGCCCCACACACCCGGCTTATTTTATTTTTGTATGTCTATGCTGTGTGTATATGAGTACCCACAGAGACCAGACGGCGAAACTGGATGCCCTGAAGCTGGAGAATTTGTTGGCTAAACTGCCTTTGATTTAAGAACCTTTACTCACAGTCCTGTGCAGCAGCCCTCCTGCAGCAAGGGCTTTACAGTGTGCAGCTCTGACCATGGTCTCCGGGTTCCTTACAGTATACAGCTCTGACCATGGTCTCCGGGTTCCTTACAGTGTGCAGCTCTGGCCATGGCCTCGGGGTCTTTACAGTATGCAGCTCTGGCCATGGCCTCGGGGTCCCTTACAGTGTGCAGCTCTGGCCATGGTCTCTGGTCCCTTACAGTGTGCAGGTCTGGCCATGGCCTTTGGGGTCTTTACAGTGTGCAGCTCTGGTCATGGCCTCCGGGGTCCCTGCTAAGTCTTTGCACACTGCAGAGATCTGTAGGAGGAGCTAGAGTCAATAAAAGGTGCTTTCTTTGCATTGTTTCCACAGCTGGTACAAAGCGAATTACAGCATGGCGGAGAAACTCGACTGGGGCCGAGGAATGGGCTGTGAATTTGTCAGAAAGAGCTGTAAATTCTGGATTGATCAGCAGAGGCAAAAGTAAGACAGTGTTTCCACATATGTCTTGGTGCAGTTCATTTCTGACTGTGTTCTCTGTCTTGAGCATCAAATACCAGCTGCTGTGTGCAGAAAATATTCTATGAGTTCTTCCTAATAATCATAAGTAATTACAGGATTGTTTTGAATAACAAACTAAAAGAATCCACACGTGACTATACACACAAATGTTGATTTAGTATCCGGAAGCTGGAAGAAAAAAAGAAAAAAAGGAAATACAAAGGTGTTTCTATAACTATAACCCTAAGGTATAAACAGTGTGGAAGATCTGATGGGCTGTAATTTCCTGATAGGAGCCATTCTGAAAAGCCTGTTTACAGTGTGCGCAGCAGCACACCACATAACCAGGGAGGCACAGTCTGACTGGGGACAGGCCTACCACAAGGACACACCCACTTCCCTCCCAATCCAGCCCTGCCCTAAACTCTGGAATCCTGTAATCTGTTGTCCACTTCTGTATCTGTCATTTCAAACAATACATAAAGATGTTATGGATATTTTAAAAATGAATATACACAGTGTGGCTGGTGTTTTCCTTTAATGTTGAAATTTAACTACATTGTTGTATATTACTAACTTGTGTTTTGTTTTGCCTTTTTTTTTTTTTTTTTTTGAGACAGGGCTTCTCTGTAGCTTTGGAGCCTGTCCTGGAACTAGCTCTTGTAGACCAGGCTGACCTCAAACTCACAGAGATCCGCCTGCCTCTGCCTCCCAAGTGCTGGGATTAAAGTGTGCACCACCACTGCCCGGCTTGCTTTGCTTTCTTTTTGACACAAGGTCTTACTGTGTAGCCTTTGCTAGCCTACTACTAAATGTATGAGAATGGTCTGAAATTCGTGGCAGTCCTTCTGCCTCAGACTCCCAAGAGTTGGGATTAAAAGCATGGGAAACTATGCTAATCGGATCTTTCTAGACTGAGCGGTATTCCATTACATGGATCTGCCACAGTTTGTTTAAAGACTCATGAAGACATCTGAGTCATTTCCAGATATTGTGAATAAAATTGCTATAAACATTTATGCAAAAGTTTCTATGTGAGCACAAACCTTCATTTCCAAAACTATAGTTATTGGCTCATGTGGAAGTTGTAGGTTTAATTTTCTAAGCAGCAGCCAAATTCTTTCCTAAAATTCCGGGAAGGAGTGTGCAATAGTTCTCCACATTGGTGCCGGCATTTGGTGTTATCACTATTGCTCATTCTGTGTTCACAGGTGTGTAGCGATGTTTTAGTGATCTTAGTTTGCATGTCCTCTAATGGTTAGTGATGGTGAACTTGTTTTCTGTGCACATTTGCTGTCTTTGTAACCTTTTTATTGATCGCCTCCATATTTTAAGCTAATTTTCTAATCAGATTGTTTTATAGCATTTTAAAGATCACATATTCTAGATGCTAATTCTTGTTAGATATGTGGTTTGCACATGTCTTCTGATAGTGTATATCTTAGTGTTTCAAACTCTTAGCATGTTTTAATAAACATTTTTATGTGTGGTATGTGCATGTCCGGATGTCACACTCTTGTACATGACAACCTGCAGGATTAGCTGCTCTCCTTCCACCACATGGGTCCTGGGGACCTAACTTGGGTCATCAGGCTTGGCAGAATGCCTCTACCCACTGAGCCATCTTGCCAGCACTTTATCACAGTTTTTGTTTGAGCAAAAGATGTTAATGAAGTCCAGATTATCAATCTGTCCTTTTCCTGAATAAATGGGCAATTCATAACTGGTTCTGTTCTGTTGTTGGTACCTGTGGTGCCCATTACCCCAGGGCCTCATACCTACTAGGCAGACACAGTACCACTGGGCTCTCTTCACCCAGGAATTATGTTTTTGATGCTAAGTCTGAGAGCTCTTCGCCAAACTTGTGTCTGCCGAGCAGGCATGAGGCCCCAGGTAATTAGCACCACAGACACCGGTTCTGGAGATTGAACAGTGGTCCTTGGCAGTAAGCACCCCTACCGCTGAGCTGTCTTGCCAGCTCTCTTTGCCTTCCACAGCAACTGCATATATTCATGTGGGCCTTTCCCATCTTCTCTGTTGATGCATCTTTCTGTGTGTCTGTCCCTCCATGGCACATGGGGCACACGGTGTGTGGCTTCTGAAGTATTCTACAGTACATCTTTCAGTTGGGTGGCGGGAAATGGATTCCTCCTGCTTTATTCTTTCTCAAAACAATTTTACTGTTTCCTGTGTGACGTTATCTTGTTTGTATTTAAAAAACAACAAAAGCTGGTAAGATGGCTCAGCAGACGTGCTTTAAACCTGTGCATCTGTTTGAGGAGAAGTACCATCGGTAGGCTATTGAGTTTTCCAGCCCGCAGATGCAGTATGGAGGAAACAGCCTTCATCATTATGAAGTTGTTGGCTTCTGTTTTTGAAGGTTCTCTGTAACTTAAGAAATATCCTCGCTATTCCCTCTCTTAGTTTTGTTTTTGAACCACAAGTAGATGGCAAAATTTTTTGAAAAATTTTATTTCATGTGCATTGTTGTGATGGTGTCAGATTCCCTGGAATTGGGGTCACAGACAGTTGTGATCTGCCATATGGGTGCTGGGGAGTGATCCCAGTCCTTCTGGGCTACCAGCCAATGCTCTCAACCGCAGAGCCATCTCTCCAGCCCATGGATGTGGAATTTTATCAAATGCTTTCTGCTTTAGTTTATATAATCATGTGATTTTTTTTCAAGTTTTTTTTTGTTTTTATTTTTATATGTTTTAGTGGTTTTGCCATCATGTTTGTCTGTGTGAGGGTGGCAGATCTCCTGGATCTGGAGTCAGAGACAGTTGTGAGTTGTCTTGTGGGGCCTGGGAGTTGATCTCGGGTCCTCTGGAAGAGTAGTCAATTCTCTTAACCGCTAAGCCATCTCTCCAGCCCCTCGTGTGATTTTTTTTTTTTTTTGAGACAGGGTTTCTCTGTGGTTTTGGAGCCAGTCCTGGAACTAGCTCTTGCAGACCAGGTTGGTCTCGAACTCACAGAGATCCGCCTGCCTCTGCCTCCCGAGTGCTGGGATTAAAGGGTGATTTTTTTTTTAACCTGCTATTATGGTGGATTACTTTGCTTGATTTTCAAATATTAAACTACCTTTGTTTGCATCTCTGGAATAAACCCTATTCAGTCATGGCATGTAGTTGTTTCTGTACAAATGCTGAGTTTTGCTATGGGCTTTGAATATATATTTATAAAGAATATTGCTATGTAGTTTTCTGTTCTTTACAGTTATTTTACCTTTAACTAGATATGACTCTCAGAGCATATACTTCATGTTATTCAAACCATATTTTATTCAAATCTTATGTATTTGGAAAAACAAATGCATAGAATGAATAATAGTCTCTAAATAATGGATATTGTCATCAAACTTAGATATTGTCATTATTTTAAAATGCAATTTATAGGACTGGAGAAATGGCATAGCAGTTAAGAGCACTGGCTATGCTTCGAGAAGGCCCAGGTTCAATTCCCAGCACCCACATGGCACTCACAGCTGTCTGTAAGTCCAGTTCCAGGGGATCTGGCCCCCTCAAACAAACATACACACAGGCAGAACACCAGTGCACATAAAATGAAAATGAATCTTTAAAAAATGCAGTTTATATGTGTGTTCAAGAATAAATCCTAATGTGTACTGAGTTTTATTCTAAGCTTTTAGTTTCATTTACATTTTGTTAACTTAGTCTTGTTTCTCTTAAAAACTTTTCCTGTATCTTTATTATCTGTAGTTTAATTCTGTTGTCATTGGCATGGCGTGTTAGGGTTATCTTCATGACATTGGTTAGCATGTGTATTTGGTCCAGATGACATTTCTCAGTGGACGTTCCCTGTGACCTTGAAAGGTGCTGGTACTTCTGAGCTGGATTCTGTCCTTGCTGAATCCTGCCCTCTACCCCATACATTCTGGGAGATGAAGTCTCCAGTTGATGGTGAAGTCGACTGTTTCTTATGGCTGTTCTGCGTCATGTTTTCATAGTGTTTTAGTAAGCATGTATGCAGTAGACATTGCTACCTACCTGGAGCATTGGCCCTTTGATTGTGTAAGGCATCTCTTGACCCCTCTTGAGTTCTTTACTCTGCAAACTAGGGTATTCTCATTCATATTCTCTCTCTCTCTCTCTCTCTCTCTCTCTCTCTCTCTCTCTCTCTCTCTCTCTCCTCCCTCTCCTTCCTTCTTTCTTATGTAGAATTTCTTCCTTGTTTATCTTTTTTGTTTGTTTGTTTTTGTTTTCTGAAACAGAGTTTCTCTATAGTTTTGGAGTCTGTCCTGGAACTAGCTCTGTAGACCAAGCTGGCCTCGAACCCACAGAGATCCATCTGCCTCTGCCTCCCAAGTGCTGGGATTAAAGGTGTGCACCACCACCACCTGGCACCTTCTCTTCTCTTCTGCTTTCTGGGAGAGATTGTAAAGAATCCGTGTCCTTCTTCCTCCTCCCCTGTTTCTCCTCATTTTATTTTTTTTAAGATTCATTTTTTTACTCGTATGTATGTGCATTCATACATTTGGTGGGCTCCCGGGGAGGCTGGGAAAGAGCGTCAGATGCCTTGGACATGTAGTTACAGGACACTGTGAGGTGTCCAGCGTGGCCACTGGGAACTAAACTAGGGTCTTATGCCAGAGCAGTATGAGTTCTTACCCACCGAGCCATCTCTCCAGAATCTCGCCCCCCACTCCGCCCTGACAGTTTTGCTCTGTGGCTCAGGCTGGCCTCAAACTCACAGAGATCTGCCTGCCTCTGCCTCCTGAGTGCTGGGCTTAAAGGCATGTGCCACCACCACACGGCTATTCTGCCGATTTTTTTAAAGTAAAAATTAAATTAATTTTTAAAAATTAATCTTTAAAAAAATTATGTCACTGGGCAATGGTGGTGTACACCTTTAATGGTGGATCTCTGAGTTCGAGGCCAGTCTGGTCTGCAGAGCAAGTTCCAGGACAGCCAGACCTGTCAACAGAGAAACCCTGTCTCAGAAAAATCACCTGTCTGCATTATTGTGTGTGTCCTTACTGTGCATAGGGAGAAGTTTACATGCCGTGGCACATGTATGGTTGCAGGACAACTCTGTGGAGTTGGGTCTCTCCTTCCGCTTTTATGTGGGTTCTGGGGACTGAACTCATACTGTGGGACTGGCCTTTACCCACTTAGCCTGGCTGGTCTGTTCTGCAGTCGTTGAGAAAGTTCCACTACCCCGGGTTTCTAACCCTCAAGTTCCTAGTCTCCCTCTTCTCTCTGCTTTCTGTGCCTCTCATTTTGTTAGTTCTAGTATCTAGGATTTCAGTTGTGCTCTGAATGAAAAAGAGAGAAAAATTCATCTGTTCTGTCTCCCAGGAAGTAGAAGTGAGACTTTATCCTTTCTGTATTTTAAACATTTCTTTCCCCTAGGCGATTAAGCTAATTCAGACTATGGACCTATAGAACTGGATTTTGCTGGCGAAGGTGTGGAAAAGGGTTAATGGGATTATCTTTAATAAGGTGTAATGTGCTCTCAACATCTAGATAAATCCTCCACGTCTATGCTCAGCATCCGCTCCACTCTGGGGAGAGTCTTGATAACCGGATTAGAAATTTACTAAGAACTGTTGAACTCTCAGGATTGTAGCTGAGAAGACATCTCTCTAATGGACCCACAACCTTCTCTTTATGGTTTGATGCCAGGAGGTGTAGACCTCTATTCAGCAGGCTGTTGCCATGGAAATGCCCTGACACCAACATGCCTTCCTTGTGTTCAGGCGGCAGGTGCCAAGCCCATACTGTGACACACTGAGGAGTAACCCACTGCAGCTGACTTGCAGACAGGACCAGAGAGCCGTTGCCGTGTGTAACCTGCAGAGGTTTCCTGACCCTTTACCACCAGAGTACCAGGTAACACTTGTTCCCAGCACAGCTTTAAAAGTCGACTTCCTCAAAAGCCGTCTCTGTTTTAATTAAGAGAGTAAATCTCTTACATTTTTTACTGTGTAATTTCCTGTGTATTTTCTGTTAGAAAAAGAAAGAAAAGCCCGCAGATCCCTCATTTCTTCAAGGCTGGCGTTCTGCTTAGCAGTCACAAAGTACCTAGCTGTGCCCCAGGATCCTGCCCATCTCCCCAGCAGTGGGTCACAGGGCTGACCCATGCCCAGCCGTCCACCCGGATGCTGAGGGTCAAACGCAGGACCTCACACTTGACAGGAAGTGCTGTAGCCCCTGAGTCACCTCAGCTTCTGCTGATCTTTTTCTCTCTAATCATTGCTGACATTGCCTTCTTTAAATTTCTCTAATTTATTCAGAAAACAAAAAATCCTGAAAGAAAGTAATTTACTCTAATCCAGCTAACTAGAAGATGTGGAAGTTCTTTAAAAAGATAGTTTGATTTGTGGGATCTGAAAGGGGTCAGGAGGCTGGAACGATGGCTCAGTGGTTAAGAACACAGGCTGTTCTCGTAAAGGACCTGGGTCCCATTCCCGGCACCCACATGTTGGCTCACAGCTGTCTGTAGCTCCTATGCCAGGGCATCCAGCAGACTTCTGGCCTCTGTGGGCATCTAGCACACACATAGCACACTTACATACATGCAAGAAAAACATTTAAAGACATAAAAAAAATTTTTTAAATTTTTTTTTAATTTTTATTTATTTATCATGTATACAATATTCTGTCTGTGTATATGCCTGCAG